TGTTGTTGTTGTTGTTGTTGTTGTTGTTGTTGTTGTTGTTGTTGTTGTTGTTGTTGTTGTTGTTGCTGTTGCTGTTGCTGCTGCTGCTGCTGCTGCCCTTGCTGTTGTCGCTGTTGCTGCTTTTGTCCTTGCTGCTGCCCTTGCTGTTGCCCGATAAGCTGCCCTATATAGGTAATTTCCTGCTGATTCTGTTGTTGTTGTTGTTGTTGTTGTTGTTGTTGTTGTTGTTGTTGTTGTTGTTGTTGTTGTTGCTGCTGCTGCTGCTGATTCTGCTGATTCTGCTGCTGCTGCTGCTGTTGTTGTTGTTGTTGTTGTTGTAGTTGTTGTTGTTGTTGTTGTTGCTGTATTCCCCTTTGTGAATAACCTCCCTGCTGCCCATGCGGGAGCACAGGTACTGTCCCATATTGCGCTAAACTTCCCTCCCCTTGTGTACCAGTTGATTGTATAGGCCCATTGAACACCTCCCCAGGCCATAAATTTCGAGGGGTCATCCTCCCATATGGTCCAGCCACAGGATTCCATTCTGGAGGCACGTTCACGTAAGTGTTCGGAAGAGGGTGAGTTATTGGAACATCCGGGGAGATTACGGGAGATTGCATTGAAACTAGCGATAGATCATATGGATTTTGATAAAACGGAGCATTAAAAGGAGGTGCATATATCTGAGGAACTGTACCCGAAAATATTCGAGGAGGATTTTTCTGATAATTAGTATTCTGAGAAGATGACTGGCTAGAAGGTGACGGGAGCGGAAAAGAAGCAGACCGAGATATAGTAGGTGATTGTTGTGACTGTGACTGTGATTGCGAACGAAAGTTTGATTTTTGGTTTTTTTGAATCTTTTGATTCTGATAATTTTTATTCTGGGGTTGTTTGCTTTTGTTATTACTATTGTTCGGACGATTAGCATTCTGCTGAACTTTGTTTTTGTTTCCGGTCGAGGTATGGTCATTGTTTATGGTTTGATCGACCATGCTAGTGACCGTATTTCCGTTAAAATCAATCCACGAGGGACTTCCGCAGAGTGTCATTTCCTCAATAATCGTATTTGGACTTCCCAATTTTATCTCTTCTATTCCTCCTTCGGACATATGGTTATCTTTCTCTCTTTGTTTGCTCTTATCCTGCTCCCTTTTTATTTCTTTCTCAATGTCCTCTTGCTCCTGTTCCTGGTCTTGTTCTTTCTCCTTCTCATCCTCATCCTCATCTCTCTTTTCCTTGCCTTCCAAGTCTTTGAATATCCTAGCTCTCGCTTTTTGATAAGCAGCTTCTCGTTCTTCGATAGTCAAAATTCGTCGTTCAGTTTCTGAACTACTATCAGAATTATCTCCCGGAGAGCGAAGAGCCGGTGGGGCAGTATGTTGTCGACGCATTATTTTCACGGATACTTCAGGTTTCTCTTCCTCTTGTTCTAATAAATCCGAGAATCGAAGGACTGGGCTTTTAGGAAATTTAGGGTGATTATGGAGATAGTATAATAGAGAAAGACATACAGAGAAAAGATTACGACGTGTATAATAACACAATAAAAAAAATTCCTTGTCCCTTCACTTGAAAATCCTCAAAACCATCAAAATCCGCTCAACCTAACCCTCACATAATATTCACATTTGCGTCTCGGCCGATTTATATAAAACGACAGCTTTTCCACTGGTATCGACGACATGCGATAGTTTAAAATATGCAGCAACGCGATGGATAATCAATCTCTGATAAGAGTTCATTGGTGGAAATTCCAGGCGTGTGCGGCTGAATAACAGGAAACGAAGTGAATAAATGAGATGAATCACGGAATAAGTAACAAGAATAAGTATGTAAGGTTGAAGAAAGAAAAAGATCCCTCGTAAGTTTCTTGGAGCTTGTCGGTTAATTGAGTCTTACATAAATCGTCTTTCCCAGCACTATCTCTCATCAAGATCATTTCTATATCGACCTCTGCTTCTACCTACACATCTTACTCTTCCATTTCCTAAATCTACCGGACTCCCACCATCGTAAAGACGCGGAATCACTTGAACTGATGAAGAATTTAAACAGAACGAAGAAAAGGGGATCCTATCTCTTTTGCATCAATAAATACCTCTTATCCTTGACGAATCTCTCCATATCCCGATCTAGTTTCAACAAAAACAGCCTGTCTTTTGGATTCTTCAACGCCGCAAGTAAGAACCCATCTAACCCAGTGTTAACATCAATCTCTCCTATTTGCGGCTGTGTACTTTGTAAATTTACTTGTCCTAACAGCGTTTCATCAGAGGCATCCGCAACTTGTGTTTTGTGGATAAGGGAGGACATTTGTGAGAGTATGTGGTAAGCATAGAGGGTAATATACACTCTCGCCTATCAGTGTGTCCGAAACCGGTGATCACCGGGATCATCGGATCCGGGTTCCTGTTTAATTAATAGTGAGGTTTCGCAAACAATACAATAAATATTATTATAAATAGTCCAGAAAGATTTCGACAGGAATGCCCAGACCACGAACTCATTAGGGACATTGGGTCATAGTCTCGACCGGAAATGCAACCATTTTGTACCGGGAAGATATCGGAGGTTGTGGTTACCAGGAAAGAGCGGCTCTGCAGATTTTCGTACAAGCTTGTCGAATGGGTTCTTAGGACTAAGATCGTGGTACTCAGTTCGCAAACGGACAGGGCCATTTTTTATGGAATTAGTACCTAAATTAGTTAAATTTCATTAAGGGACTATAATTATTCCAAGATAAAGACGATGAGTTTACATTTGCGTCGTTATTCGAGTGATGACAAGATCGTGTTTGCATCGTCATTTGCCTGTGTAACCCATCGAGGAAGTCAGCTGAGGTGTTAGATGAGGTGTTAGCTGAGAAGTTACTCAATGTCGATGAGTTTGCAATTTACGTCGTCATTGCAGGAGTTGGCTTGCGGAGTTAGGCATTGTTATTTGCCGAGGATGTTAGCTGAGGTGTTAGCTGAAGAAGTTATATTTGCATCGTCATGCAGAAGTTGGCTTGCGGACTTGGCTGGTAGAGATAACTGAAAAAAAATTTGTTATTAAGAAGCGGAAGCTTCGAAGCTTCGCCTCTCAAATGACGACAAGTTTGCATTTACGTCATTGTTCAAGTATGACAAGATCGCATTTGTGTCTAAGATTTTTCTGTAATACATAATAGTTTATGTATCTTATTCATAAATTTAGAATATACTACCATTCTTTTTCTGCTAAATTTGTTCAGACATTCGAAGTTGTTAGTTTTTTTAGCTAACTTAATTTTTGGGTATTTTTTTATAATAGTTCTAGAAACAAGAGATTCTTGTCCTGAAACATTAATTGTGATTATGTCACTATCACAGCTTTGCCATGCGCAAAGCGTCAATTTTCGGGGAAGTTGTACCCAAATAATAAACTAAAACTGACCGAGGAAAATTCCAGGAACATAATGTTTTTTTTACGCAACATTGATATCAAATTTTCTAGGACAAACAATTTAGCAAGTAATTAATTTTTAATCGTTGTTCCAGATATTATAAATTATTTTTCGTGGCTTCGCCGTGCGCTCTGCGATACAAAGTAGGATTTTACATTACTGTGGATTATGTATCCGCGTATCAAAAGTTGGGCGCGTCTATCATAACCAATCCAGCTGTTGGGTGAAACAAATAGTTAAGTTTACTATGCGAGGTTTATTTGCCTTTTTTGACATACATACAGTATAAGCTAAAACTTAATTCAATTTTTGTTGTAATTGCTATTATAATAAATATATCTGTTTCCCGTTTTATGTTATAAAATGAAAAATATAAGATAGTATAATAGTATAAAAAAATAAATATAAGAATTCTTAATGTGTGGATGAGATAGCAAGCTGCACGTTTTTTAGCAGTTTTATATTTAGCTAGATTTAATCATGAAATTAAAAAATTTTTTGAGACAGCAAGCTGCATGTTTTAACTGAATTTAACCACTTTTTAAATATCAATGCACGAAGTCACTCTCTCCGAGAGATAAAAATTACGTGACGGGACAGCACGCCACACGTCCAGGCCCGAAGGTGAGTCTAAAGGCTCATAATTACTTTGAATTAAAAAACATTTGTATAGTTATAATCTGATAACCGTCCTAAAACACAACGTCAAAAATGCTACAATTATACATATTCAATAGATACTAAATAAACTTTATTTAATTCTTTTTTGTATGGTGAGTAGGAAAACCAAGACGGGCTTCATATTCCCGCTTATATTTTATGAAATCAACTTCGTTTATAATCTCGCGCTCTTTTTTCCAATAATTTATATTATCCCGAAATTCAAAGGCTATCTCGTCTCTCCTTTTTTTTTTTAATTTTTCTCTCGACATTTGGTGTTTTTGCTGTAAAAGACGTATAAGGGTATCTATATCAAATTCATTTAATGAAAAATTCTGAAAACAAAGAAATCGCTGGCTCTGGCATTTTTTGGCACGTAAGTACCTTGTGATTTGATTTTGATGGATCCATAGTTGTATCATGGCTTGAACAAGCACCGGGAAGAACCTTTTTTAGATGTCCATCTATCTTAAGTCTTAAGTGCGTAAGTTGTTTAATACGGTCTTTTTCTCCATCAAATGAATCTTGAATTCCTTTAGTGGTTTTTCAAGAAATTCTGTAAAATATTTTAGATTATAACTAGAATGCGATCTCCATTCCTTACCAAATATTGCATAATAATGACGTTCATTTTTCTTATAATTGGTAAGAAGTTTGATAAACTAACATCAAAGTCTTTACGACTTATCGTAGAAGATGTGTGAATGCCCGAAGGAACTATGCCTCGCAAAATTTCCTCTAACAAAATAACTTTGGCAATAGCGAATCACAAGAAGCCTTTTCTCGTGGATCATTCTCTATTATGAGCTTGCGTTTAGTACGCAAGTTATCCAAGGAATCCATAGCCTGAACCAGCGCACTGTATGCACTTGGCATTTCCTTTTTACAGTTATATCTTCTGGGGCCTTCTTATAAAAATGCGCTAAATTATACTTTTGCAAAGCAAGCCTATAAGCTGGGTCTATATCCTCATCTCTTTCTAAACGTTCGAGAATGCTTAAAGCTTCCATTTCATTCAGAACCTGGGCATTTGCAATTGATGAATATTTTTCCATATCCAGAGTTTTTTTAATAACACGTATATTCTTAAGCAAGCCTTTGCCCTCCTTGTCTATCGTGACTGTAGAATCAATGGGGGACAATCTTCAGCGATGCTAACTGTGTATACACATTCATTAAGCCGGTCAGCTAATAGACCTACAAAATCGTTTCTAGACGCATTGCGGCGAGATGCATTATAGAGATGGGTTTCTAAAAAAGCATTTGTATTTGGCCTAAAATCCACTTGCCATCAGGAGCAAATGTTTTATCACAGTGAGCCTCTTCTAAGTCGGGATGTTCCACGACATTACATCGATAGCTGATAAAACGAAGTAAGTCTTCTCTATCTTCAGGAAGATTATCGCTACGTGAACGTGTACTACATTGCAATTCAACCTTCGAACGCAACATCTGATATGCTTCATTGTAAGCCAATGTGCAAATGTCATGTCAAAATTTTCTATTGTTATACTTACGCCGCAAGTCATGACCGGAGTTGCTATTAAATAATCAAGATTTGTCACTGCTCTGTTTCTGATAATCGTTTGGAAAAACATTTACCTTGATATCCATGAGATGACAATTCTTTATGAAGGACTTCTGCCATTTTTTGCACTGGCAAACATCGGAATATAAACTTTAACCCCTTTTTGAGGGCGCCAAGTAATTCAGCATTCCATATATAAGTGAATTTGCATGAATATAACTAATTAAAAAGACCAAACGGATTGGCAATCGATAGCGCGTACTTTGTGAAATTTGGTGGGTTTGACCGCCGTTCCTTTTCTTTACGCTGTACGTGGACAAACGTGTGAGAATAAATCATTAATTTTGCTGTGTCAATTGAAGGCAATCGCAACATCGCTCTTAGTCAGCAATCAACGACTCACGAGTATGAATGAAAGTATTACAATTGAAATAGTTGTAGTTTCTTTTTATTGAAAATAACATACCAGTATGACAAATACTGGATCCGCAGTACTCCTCCCCATTAAGTTTCTTCTAACATACGTACTGTTTTAATTTCATTCAGTCTTATGATAGGTACTTTATTTTTTTCTTACAAAATCTGATATGTTATGCGTAACATGCCGCATACATCTGTTAATCATCCTCGTCTAACTCGCTCTCCTCTCCATCTGTATCTTCGAATCGATATTGGGGGCATAACCGCTCAACTTTAAACCTTCGCACATCAATAGGCTCCTCAGGGATACCCTTCCATTCGTCATCAAACGGATCAATATATGCTTCCAGAATAGCAGAGAGTGCGTCAAAGACATCTGATTTCGGCACTTTCAGAAATGAAGACAGGGCTAGACCAAACATTGAAATATGACGTCCTGAGTCGAAATTCCATTCTACAAACTCCGTTATACTCTCTGACACACCCAGTTGCCAATATACAAGTGAAACTCGATAAGCCGAAGCCACACTAAGCCGAAATTGCATTAAGCCGAAGTTTTTTTGATTTCCCA